GGGATGGGATGGGGGAAGGGATTGGGCAGGGATGAGATGGGAACGGTGTAGGGTAAGTAACTTTTTTTACCACAGACTTTGTTACCCAGGAGTCAGTTATTTCGCTTTAGGGAAGGCTTCCCTTTCCGCCTTCTCAAAAGAGCGCTGTTCTCTCCCCTCCTCACCACATTCCAGAAGCTCACTCTGACATGTGAGGAGAGAGCAGATGTCATAGGCCTTGGCATTCCAGCGGGCAGAGAGGGGGGAGCGAAGATAATAAAAACTCGAAGGGGAAAACAGGAGGTGCCTTTGGCCCCTGGGGGCCCAGTGTGCCTTACTGTAAAAAAGCAATCCTTTTCTTTTAATCCTTCCACTGCCTTGGTGTTCTTGGGAAGAATACCTTTGTATGTTTTACCTTACAGAGGGGATAGGGATGGGATACAGATGGGATAGAGATGAGAACAGGGATGGGATAGGGATGGGGACAGGGGTGGAATAGGAATGGGATAGGAATGGGGACAGGGATGGGATAGGGATGGAAACATAGGTGAGACAGGGATGGAAACAGGGGTGAGATAGGAATGGGACAGGGATGGGACAGAGATGAAACCATGGCTTGGGACAGCCAGGATTTCCTGAGGCGGATCCAGGGAGGGGACAGCTGGAATGCCCCAGGGCAGATCCAGGGAACATCACCGGGCTCAGGGACAGCCAGGACAGGGTGGTTCAGATGGCAGAGACATACCTGTGCAAACTGTGCAGGGATGTGTTGAGACTTCAGGCTTTGTCAGTGGCACAGAAACAGCCCCACCACCTTGGAAAAGTTCTGGAGACCTCATCCTGTAGGACACAAAGCAGGGTGAGCATGGGGGGGTGACAGCTGAGTCCCCTCCCAAAGAGCTGCTCCACACCTGTCAGTGAGTGTGGCACCAAGGTTGTCCCTGTCCCTCTCACAGGAGGTCTCATTCCCCCATCCCACCCTAAGCAAAACCACAATGTTGTCACCCCACTTAAATACCCATATCTTCAGGTTTTAACCCTAAAAGTTTGAAAATGAAGTGTTACAGCCTGTCCTGAGCAAAGGCAGTGGGGAGAGAGGAGGGGTGGAGCACAATACAGAGTTTAACCCCCTGTGACATTATTCAGTGACTGCAGAATAAACCCAGACAAATAAACCCCAAAATTTATTATGAAAACACCATTAAAAATTAGACTTTACACACAAAATCTTCCTGGGACCTAAAATTATGCTTTTGGGGGAGTTCTAAGCTTTCTTTATCCTAGGAGGGAAGGGGAGTCCTCCTGATCCCCCTGGCTACAAATGATCCCTGAGTCAGTTTCCCTTCTGGGAACACCCCACATACTGATATTTCCCTCTCTCCCCATTAATCCCTTTTTAAACCCACTCAGTTAACCAGTTTGTTCTCCCACCAACAGATGGCCATCAGTGGCACCAAGAAACAAGCAATAAATCCATCATAAACTTGGGTTCTCCACCCTGTGAGAGGGGAAGATCAAGGCAAACCCGAGCACTAAAAAGAAATAAAATAAATAAGGAAATAGTTTCCGATCAGCTCATCTCGGCCCAGGATATTTGGCAATATTGCTGGGAAAACTGGAGCATTGCAGATCAAAGCACCCGGCACATTTACACTTCAATAAGGCCCTGAACAAACAGATGTGTGGGTGATACCCAAAGCTCTCTTTGTTCCCGAAGAAGGCTGAAAAGTTCCATATATCCAAGGGGATGATAGCTTCTATGGGTGGTTTTTTTAAGCCCTTGAGTCTGTGGGGTAATTAAAGAGCAGGTTTGACTCCATGTGGTCACTCTCCTGAGACCCCCTGCAAAGAGGGGGGGCTTAAAATGAGGAGTTTTGGTTAAAACCATGTGTGGACCCCAAATCCACAGGATCCCTGCTCTTAATTAGGCCCTCAGATTATGCTTTTCATGCAGGTTTATCTAAACTCTACAGAAAACTCTGCAGGTCTTTCCCCCAAAACCAAGAACCTGCAGTGTTAAAACACAAATAGCACAGCCAGTGAACACCACCTTTGGAATCCTTCTGTAATAGAAGTGTTTGTGGAGGAGGTGGGAAAGGGATCAATTAATTGCTAGAGATTGCCTTGGTTTTCAAAGGGAGGTGAGGAAAG